CCATGACTTAGCAAGATATCCAACTAAGGTCTCTCATTATAACGCATCAAAATGGTCATGTGCCTATCCCAAAGGTGCTTTTTCTGGAGGCAACTGGATTTTCTTGTTTTTTTCTTTTCTTTTGAAGACGTTCCACTTCTCATCCAAGAAGCTTCTTCAGCTCTGACAGGATCATGGGAGAATGGAAGGATTTATATTCCTTGCAGACAGCTGGTAATCTGCATCCTTTAAGAGGGTGGTTGAAGCACTTGGAGGTTTATCTGTGTCCTGAGTAGTGCTTCTGGTTCCTGTAGTCTCAATTTTTCCTCTGGAAAAATGTTATGTGCCTACGTTTCATCTCTTGACAGTCTCGATCCTATGAAACTGCAGAAGGATTCATTTCCAGGAATCCCAGCAGATCTTCCCAGTTCCCACTCATCTTTTCCCATTTCACTCCCAACATTCACCCAGGTACTACTTAATCAATTCAGTTGCATAAATTTAACTACGGGCTTGGGCCCAGAAGCAAATCAATCCGATTTTAATCCAAGGTTTGCATCATGTTAACAGTCATAATTATGTCTTGCTTTATATTATTTTTTTTAAAAAAACATTTCAATGGTTTAAAAAAAAATGTTGGTCCTGAGAATGGTGTTTTGTATTTTAAAGTATGCATAGTACTAACATGCAGACAGAACCAAAGGTGATCACACCGCCCTCCCAAAACCCGCGTATTGCGCTGAGACGGGGTTGTCTTGCAATACGTTCCTGATGCTCATTCCCAGCGCGCTTCTTCTACCCCGCACATGGTGGAAAGCCGTCGCATCGAACCGGAAGCAAAGGTGCCCTTCGGGCCGCCCCGTCACTCTCGGTTCCTTAGCTCGGCTTGGCGGCGGCGGTTTAATTTCCTAGTTGCTCAAGATGGCGGCGGCCGTTTTTCCAAGGCGCTGCTGCAGCCGCTGGAGAAAAGAGAGGATAACTCCGCTGCTGGTAATGCTCTGGGGAGCTGCCGGCCTGGCGTTCCTCCTTACGGTTGCGGCTTCCCTGGAGCCGGAGGCGGTGGGGAGCCACGTGGTGGAGCTGAGCGGGTCCAACTGGAGCCTCCTGCTGCAGGGCCAGTGGATGGTGGAATTGTGAGTAAGCCAAGGCGCGCGCAAACTTGGAAAGGCAATGCAGGCAGAAGAGCCCTACCAGCCTCCCCTCTCTCTCCCTTAGGGCGCCAGTGGGAGGGTGTACTACAGCCACCATCATCCCCAGCCAGTTTCTCTAAACGTTGTAAGGCAAGGCAGTGTAAGAGGGCGCCGGCTGCAAGTGCGAATAGCTTGGCTTGGCGCTTATTTGGGGGCATTTACTTCGGTCCATAAACGTGGGGACCGTTTCCCTGCGCTTAAGACAGATGCAGTTCATAAACCTAGTTCGTCCGTCTGTCTTCATTTTGGAGAGTTGGCTTTTTATTAATGCAAGTAAATAATTAAGGTGATATGGGTTTTAGCTTTTATGATTTAGCTCTTTTCTGATGGGCTTTAATTAAATCCAATTTTCCCCAATCCAGTGCCTGCTCAATATATTATTATAAATATATACTCAATAAGTCAGGTTAAAGAATTCCCCTTTTCTGGCCATACTGTTTGGTCCTTCAGTTATAGTTTACTGAAAAAACTGTAATAGTTATACTACATTGCAAGGTATTATTTGGTATTTGATGTTAAATAACACCTGCTGCAACTTGCTAAACCTTGCTAATGAATTGCTACATATATGTAAAGTGCTGTGCCCAAACAAGCAATATTATGCCATAATGTAATGGCCTAGTTATTAAAATGCTTGAAGGCAATGGCTGAATTTTCACAACAAACTGAACTCACAAACCGAACTCACAAACCAATTTAGTGATTGTCTAGTACTATAGTGCATGAATGTATGAAAAACATGCAATTCAGGATAAGGGATTGGCTCTGGAGTCCATAAATAGCTGTTAGTGACTTCTGATAAGGATGAGCAAATTTTGCACATGAAGTAAGTTAGACATGCTGTTGTGGCAGTCCACAAATTGGATTAAGTGTAATTTTGAAACAGCAAAATATAGTATTCTAGTACTTCTGTTGCTTTTTTGTAACTGCTTTTCTGTGGGTTTCTTGAAAAGTGGCAGTATGCATGAAACATTTCCTTTTTAATCATTAAAGCAGACATGTTTTGCAAGGCTGCTTCAAAGCCTTGCAAGTGCATACATAGCTATCTACAGGCATGTACATGATCCACAGCCATTCCACTTCCTTGGGAAATAAAGAATGACTGCCCATGCATGAACACGAGAATACAGCCAAGGACATTTTCCATATTAGACCCATGAATGTGGACAAGACATAGTTTCTTTTACAAGTTGGAAAACAATTGCTTCCTACATTTGAAAAATGTACAGAGCAACTGTCAGCCTTTTTAAATATTTGGTATAGTTATTTGTATTCACAAATGCTTTGTCAGATGTGCATTATAAAATAATAGCTCATATTTTAGATCTATAATGGAAAAGACAGCCTTATCAAACAATCAAATTCTGCTCAGTGTAACTCACCAGTGACCCATTGCCAAGCAAATGAAGAAACCAAGAGATACTTTGGTTCACAATTTGAATACCATGGTTATAAAGCAAAAGAGAAATACTATTGAAAGAGGAAGCATGTTCACCTCAGCTTAGCCCTCTCTTTTGGACATGGAAGGAGCCGAGTGATTAGGGTGCAGTACTGCAGGCCACTTCAGCTGACTGTTATCTGCAGTTCAGCAGCT